CTATGGTGGCAGCCATCTTCATCACCTTGGTGGGCGCTGCAGCAGGGAGACCCCAGCTGGGGAGAGCTACACCAAGAAGCTTCGAGGCAGAGTCACGCATGGTGGCCTGAGCTAGAGCAGCCATAGCTGCTTTGCGTTGTCCTTTGCACAGCAGGGCAAGGCCCAAGTAGTCCGCCATAGCCTCGGCCTATGAGAGTGAAGAGTGAGGGAGGCTGCCATGGCTATGGTGGAGCTCAAGTGATACCTGCAGTAGAAGAGGGATTCGGACATTGATTCTGGTTCAGCCATTCAACATTGTATTATTATTTCTTGTGTGAATAAGAGAGGAGGAGATGAGGAGGAAGAGAGAGTTTGGCGAAGAAGAAGAGCTTTGTCATTTGTCCATGCTGGTGTACATCATCTTCTTCTTCTTCTTCTTCTAACCTTCTTTCTCCTCTCAAGTTCATTCATTTCTTTCCCCAATTGGACGGCATTGTACTATCTGATGAATGTGTATCTCGAAATTGGCCAGGATCATAACATTGGTATCAGAGCGGATTCTACTTGCTGGTGAGAGTTGACTTGTTGCCCTAACCCAAACCTAAGTGTTTGAGGGCAACACTTAGGGTTAGGGTTGGATGTATGGGAAGTGGGGCAGCGTGGCTAAGGGAAGCTTCCCCCACCTGGTTAGGTCATGTGGGGTCGACATTGAACCTAACCAGGTTGCTTGAGAGTGAGATTAGATGGTCTTGATTGTGTGATTGAATGTGTGTGAACTACTTACTCACCTGATGGATGGAGAAACAAAGTATCTTGATTTGCATGTTGATTCCTTCTACAATGCTTTGTCTTTTCATCTCTGAACGGCTGTAGTTTGTATGTTCTGCCGGAAGTTGAAATTCGTCTTCAGGATGGTAGAGGCAGAAACTTAGTCCAAGTGGGACTCCTCTTGGTTGGGACTCGGTCACGACCTACGTGGACCCCTAGGGACCCAGTGGGACCTGGCCCAAACAAGAAGAGCCCTTGGACCCGAATCTGTTAGACGTTAGTCCATTCTCTTCCTGACTGAGATCCGGAGTTTATTCCTGTTGGTTAGGGCACCCACTGCCGAGGGGATCTCGGCTGAGACGTTTCGCATGCTTTTGATCGCCCCGTCCGTGGCTTGACTCGCACCCTACACACGACTCAATTCTCCATTGTTGCATTTAGTCACTCGTTGTTTGATTTGCTGAACGGTCACAGAGCTGGTCAGACTGGACTTGAGAGGACCTTGTATGCAGTCTGATCAGACTGGGTCGCTAGATCAGACCTCTCCTGTGAATTTGTTTTTCTTTTTGTGGTTTGCTGTTCTCTAGTCCAAATGTAATCCCACTCCGGCTAGGAGTCCTACCTTCTCTTCTTTGCACTTTTCAGTCTGTTTCTTTTCCAGAGTTCATATTTTGTTGCCCGTAGAGATTCGCAGACAAAAGGAAGAGAGAGAGAGAAGAGAGAGCGAAGCCCCCCATCTTGAGGGACTTGCGGAAATGGGCGATGTAAAGGCTTTTGTGGCCTTAAAGGCCCAACTGGACGCAGTCGTAGAGGAGGATAAACCATCGTTCCAAACTCTCTACGAGAAGGCACTGGCAAGGGAAGAGAAAGTCGAGGAGGCAAAGCGGAAAACCGATGTTGCAAACCATAAGGTTGTCCTCAAAACAGTCTCCTCCTCGTCTGACATTGAGGTCAGGAAGGAGATAGTCGCATATGTACGTGCTCTTATAGATTGTCACCTACTCAGTGACATCCCTGAACAGATCACCAAACTCTCGACAAAGGTAAGTGAGTTGCGGGCAGAAATGGTCGAAATGACCAAAGAGCACAAGGATCAAATGTGGCAGATGGCAAATTTGTATAAGGACCAGATTCCTAGTCCTCTCCCTCTACCCCCTGCCTCCAATGCTGCTAACCAAACTGTCCTCGCTCCTCTCCATTCCTCTACTTCTTCTCAATGTGTGGTTCCATCGGGACCTGCAGTAGGTGCAGACCCTGCTGCCACTACGGCAAGTGACGGCGCATAAAATTCTGCAACTGTTGCAGCCTTGAGTTCACAAACAGCAATCTCTGGTGTCGGCTACAGCAGTTCCTATGTGGACAGGAAGGCGGTTCTCATACCGTCTAAATACGACGGCAAAGAAGACGTCGAGTCCTGGATCAGCTCCATGAGAGCTTACTTCGAGGTGTTGGGAACTCAACCAGTGAGCCAGTCCTTGATCATGGGGACCAACGTCGAGCCCGTCGTACGAGGCTTCTTAGAAGTCCAAGCTACGCAAGTCGGGTACACTAAGATCAATCTGACAAAGTGGCTCAAAGCCACACCCATAGCCACACATGAGGAGATCCTTATCAAACAATTTAAGGATCCACATGCTGTCGCAAGAGCCCGAAAGAGACTCGATGATCTCAAGCGCAGCAAGTGGACGGGCACCATGCATAATTTGCAGTTGTCTGTCAACAAACTTTTTGCATTCTACTTCAGATTCGGTTGCCTCTATTCGCAACCTGCGACCTGATTTAGGTGACCCTTTTGCTGACCCTTCACCCCCACCAGTCCCAACAAACATTCAAAACCTACTTGATCGGTTACCTGCCGAACCACGAGGAGTTCCCACGCGATCGGTCTGACACACCATCGACTTGGTCGAAGGTGCTGTTTCGCCAAAGGGTTGCGTATACCGAATGGGATCCGACGAGTTGGAGGAACTCCGACAACAGATTGATGAAATGATTGACAAGGGTTGGATCAAGCCTAGTGAGTCTGAATTAGGTGCGCCTGTTTTGTTTGTCCCGAAGAAAGGAGGCAAGCTCCGCATGTGTATTGACTATCGTGGTCTAAACCGCATCACAAGAAAAAACGTTTATCCATTGCCTCGCATAGATGACTTGCTTGATGTTGCAGGTGGGTGCAAGGTCTTCTCCAAGATTGATCTCAAGTCTGGCTATCACCAGATTGAAGTCGATCCTGCAGACCAGCACAAGACTGCGTTCAAAACACGCGATGGGTTTTACGAGTTTACCGTAATGCCCTTCGGTCTCACAAACACACCAGCCACCTTTCAAAGCCTCATGGACAAGGTCCTCCGCAAACAGATTGGTCGGTTCGTGGTGGTATACCTTGATGATATACGGATCTTCAGCAAATCCATGGAGGAACACATGAAGCACCTTGAGGAAGTGTTCACCATCCTCAAGAAGACGCAACTCCATCTCAACTTAGAGAAATCTGAGTTTGGGAGGGATAGTGTCATTTATCTTGGGCATCGGTTGTCTGCTGCTGGCCTAGAGCCTGGGGCAACCAAGGTTGAGGTCATACGCAATTGGCCTCAGGACGCGAACATCCGCGAACTGCGCTCTTTCCTTGGTCTCGCGTCGTACTACCGAAAGTTTGTGCACCGCTTTTCTATTGTTGCTCGCCCGTTCTCCCGGTTAACAAGTAAGAATGTTCCCTACGCTTGGGATACCACATGCGAGGACGCCTTTCAAGCCTTGAAAGAGGCTTTGGTAATTTACCTTGTACTCCACATTGCGGATTCCAAACTGACATTCATAGTTACTACGGATGCAAGCCAATATGGAATTGGTGAAGTGTTGCAGCAAGATGACGACGATGACTTGCGGCCGCTCGAATACTACAGCAAATGCATGCCCAGCGAAAAGGTAGCTACTTCCACCTACATGCGTGAGCTCTATGCTTTGCGTATGGCTTTGAACCATTGGAAGCACTATCTTTTGGGACGCCACTTCAAAGTGTTCTCATATCATGAGACTTTGAAGTGGATCAAAGATCAAACTACCCTGTCCCCTACATTACTCCGTTGGTTCCATGAAATTGACATTTTTGACTTTGAGTTAAGGCACAAAAAGGGTTGTTATAATCGAGTTGCTGATGCATTGTCTCGCCACCTTGAGTACATGACATGCCTTGTGAATTCCTATGACCTCCGGAAGAAACTGAAGGAGGAGATCGTAGAGCACACTGCCAAGGATCCGGACCTTAGTCCCATCCTTGAGCAGCTGTGGGCTGATCCCAGCAGTCAGCCTGATTTTCACGAGTATGGAGGACTGATTTTCCGTCGCTACGGGAATCACGACCGTTTGTGTGTGCCCAACCATGAGCTTCTCCGCATGCACTTTCTGGACTTGGCTCATGGCTGGAGTGGATACTTCGGCATGGCAAAGACATACGGAAACCTATTGAGACAGTTTGATTGGCCTGAAGGGATCTGCTGAAAAGTTTGTGGCTGAATGTCAAGTCTGTCAATGAATCAAACCATGTAGACAAAAGCCCATGGGGCTACTTACACCCATTCCCATTTCCGATGGTCCTAGGGAGTCTGTCTCTATCGACTTCACAGACATGGGAAAGGTAAGTAAGAACGGCTATTCACAAGTCATGGTAATTGTTGACCGCTTCTCTAAATTTCTTAATTTGATTTTTTTGCCATCTCATGCTCCAACTGAATTGGTGATCCGTGAGTTCAAACAAAAGTACATTCTGCAATTCAGAACCCCAAAAACTCTCGTGAGTGATCGGGACCCGCGCTTCATCAATACTGAATGGAAAGACTTCACGTCCCAACTCCCTGGCCTCAGGCTATACATGACATCTGGCCGACACCCTGAATCCAACGATTTGGTTGAAGAAATCAACCAGACGGTGTTCCAACTTTTCTGCGCTTTAATCATTCCAGATCAGGAAACATGGGATGAAGAGCTGTATTTCGTCAAAGGGTTGTACAACAACTCCATTCATTCCGCCACCGGCATGACACCAAACAAGTTGCATTACGGTTGGCAGATTCGTAATCCGCTCTCCTACCTATTCCCTGAGCAGCCAGCTGGTTTAACACCCGACAGGCCTGGCTTCAAGGCCAAGTACGATCGCTTGCTCAAAGTTGTCATTGCAGCAATGCCCAAGCAACAGCACGCCATGATCCATCACGCAAAGAAGAAGCGCAGACCTTCAGATATTGAGGTGGGAAGTTATGTCTGGGTCAAGATGTCTGAAGTTTCAGAAGAAGAGGGAGTCTCACGCAAACTTCTCCCACTCTATTATGGTCCGTGGGAAGTTCTGGATGTGATTGGCAAGATAGCTTTGGCCCTTCATATGTAGTTGTTGTGCAAACTCATCTGCGCACATATCCCGTTTTTCATGCATCGAAACTATATCTCCACTGTGATGCTAAATCGTTCAATTACCGTGAAGACATGATTCCTCGTGCAATCAATGGTGGACATGAGATAGACAGAATTAAACAGCACGTAGGGAAGGGAGGCAACAAACAGTACCAGGTTCATTTCATGTATCCAACGGTCTATACTGGATTTCCAAGCAGGAACTGCTGCGCAGCGCACCGCGCGTTGTTAAAGCCTACGAGCGACAAATTGCCTCTAATGATGCACCTAAAATCTCTGCCAAGCTCACCGGGACAGAGTATTCTCGAAATCTCTTTGCCTTGTTTGCCTACTATGGGTTTGTCGGGGACTCAGAATGAGTTACTCGCTCGAAGGGACCTCGCTCTTGAGGGGGGAGCAGTGTGATGACCCGACCAAACATGGACTGAAACACGCGGCTGATTTCTGAGTTTTGCTCATAGACTGAATGCCTTGCTGAGTTTCCCGCTTGCTACTAAGTTCTCTAAGCCTGTGTGTGTGCACGCTTGCTGGACTGCATGTCTGTCTGAGTGCTGGTTGGCTTGAGTGTGTGTGTGGCCCGCAAGGGCACTTGTTCGTTCATTCGGCCCTCTGGGCCGGTACTTACCGTGGCCGTGGCATTGAGGATTGCAGCGGGGGAAAACACTCAAGTGGCGGGATAAGAGGCCCGCAGCACTTGAAGCAGCAGGGAAACACTCAAGTAGCAGGTAGGCCAGTACCACACACTGAAGCGGTAGATGTGCCGGGTACTGGAGGCCGAGCAGAAGAAGACAAAAGTGGCATTTTTAGAGGCCAAGTAGTTGTAGGCTAGGTCTAGGCGGGTACCAGTCTGAGTCTAGGGCCTGTACGGGCAATATCAGAGTCTGCAATGATGTTTCCCTCCGAAAGGG